ACCTAACGCAACCCTCCACTTTTCTCATCCAGGACTTGGGACCTGGCAACGGCAGTAGTAGTATGCAATGTAAGAAGAAAATAAATAAATAAAAAAAAATAATTTCTTTGAAATACATGTAATGCATATAACCAAAAAACACGGACTATCGCAGCGGATTTTTGCAGCGGTTTTAAAAACCGCTGCGAAATCTACGTTTTGAATATGAAAACCGCTGCAATTTGCATCGGTTAAAACTGCTGCAATTTGCACCGGTTAAAACCGTTGGCATATCCCATAGAAAACTTTAAGTGACCCGAAGCCCTAATTCCTCTCCTCCATCTTCTTCGCGCGAACTGGAGCGGCTCCGGATTTCGGTGCGACGAAAATCTTCTCCTCGCGAATCCCGACCGATCGTGCCTAGCTTCGATCCTCATCACTGTGAGTCTCTTCCCCTTCATCATCTTCTTCTCTTTTTCTTCTCATTGTTTTTCTTCATATACTTCGTTTGCATCATTAGGGTTTATGTTAATCGACCATAGCTTAGTCGTTGGTTTTTAAACATGAAATGCAAAGCTCCTCCTTATAAATTTCGCCCGTTTGTTTGAGAGTGAAATGTAGTATTGAACGATAGTCATGATTGGATGTGTGCTACCAATCCTCTTAAAATTTCGTCATTGTATGATCGGTTGCTATCAATGGACCATTTTCAAACTACCACTAGTCATGATCGGTATTTTTAGGAAACAATCATGGTAATTTATGTAACTATTCTTGACTAAGACATTTTTATTTATGTTGTCTCTATTTTGTTCTTTGTACCTAAGTGCTCCATATTTTGTCTTCTTTATTAACTATATTAGTTGTCACCCTTGTAATATTACTTATATTCATTAATACAATAATCATCATTGCTAACTATTTTTTTCAAAGAAATATTACTTAATATATCTAAAACTAAATTAACATATAAGAAAATTATTAAAGATAAAATCAAAATAAAAAATATATAGAAACATACTACAAAAATTAAATGAAAGCATCTATCCCTAAATCTAATTATTTGAAAAAAAAAAAAGAACCGAACAATGATCAATCAAAGAGAAAATAAAAACATGAATGCGAGAAGCTAGTTATCAAACAAAATAAAAGCTTATCGGCAATCAAGAGCAACCTCATGCCTATAAATGACCTAAATCAAGAAGAGAATGGGCTTTGGTGGATTTCTCATTAGAGTTTGAGTAGTAGTAGTTGGAACAAATGTGGAATGGGGAAACTAGGGTGGTTGACTTTTGTGTGATTAATTAGTTTGTGGGAAATAAAGCAAGGATTTGGAGGGTTATAGAAGTTGTTTCAAGGGATCGAAGCAATTGAAGAAAAATTCTACCCCAAATAGGCTATATTATCTTACCTCAAATTTTAGTGATTACATCACTCGTGTGTTCCCATACTTTATTCATACAAATTTGAATTAAATCAAGTTATGTTAATGTTTTGTAAATTTTATTGAATAAAATTTTGCATTTCACTATTCTAGTTGTGCACATATTTATGTGATTATCTCTATTCTCATCTAGAATTTTGTAATTCTAGAAATGTTACTCAATGTTAAATAGTGGTTGGCAAGTGTGAGATCCTAATGATGATTCCATGATATTATGAGATTATATCATTTGTTATTATATAAGCTGCAGTTAAAAAATATTATGACCATGGTTTGCATGTGGTACTAAGCTTTTTCTTTAAGCAAGGTCTATATGTGGTACTAGGCTTTTACTCTAGGGATGCTCTTTCTAATTACTATATAAGATTGTAAGAGTGAACTTATGCAACTTGGAAGTTATTTTGTCTATTATTTTCACACATGTTGAATTAAGACTACTACAACAAAGCTTTATTTATTTATGTTAAACATATTCATTTATATAAATTATTTTGTCAAGTTGTTCTATTTGAAGTATGTGAGTTGTAGGATGTTAGCTATATTACAGATGTTATATATGACATTCTCGTGCAAAGGGATGTTTTGTGTGTGTGTGTGTGTGTGGGACATTTAGGCCATTTAAGGCAAACTCACACACATAACGCATACACAAAGTCTGGAACCTTAGACCTTTTAGTTGGAAGCCTAGGCTCTCAACCAACTGGCCAAGATGAGCTGTGTCCTATAAAGGAATATTGATTACTACTCTTTTTGGTTGAGTCAGTCTATTCCTCCCTTGCACATGAAAGTAGATTGGTGGACATTTCTTTAAATTTTTGAGGGTCTGAGGTTCTCTTGGGCTGCGAAAAATTATGCCAATGCCATGAAACAAACTTGTCCTCACACAATGGGTCGTGTGAGTTCAGTTCGAAGACAAAAAGAAACGGTATGGAATTAAACATTTATAACTACTAAATATTTTATTTTCAAACTTACATTGTTATTATAATTTTTTGTAGTCTATTACGAACAGATTACAATTATGGAAAATTAATAGGATGCACAAAAATGGGACATGGTCATCTGAGGACGCTATGCAGCGATGGGTACATATATATAGTTATTACAATTTTTTTTATAAATCCATTCTTAAATATATTTAACTATATGTTTTTGAACTGTAGATGCAGGCATGCAAGCTTCTAGCCAAAGAAGGGCTTACACCTGAAGAAGGAAGTATTGAAGCTAATGAGAGAGTTTTTGCTATAGTTATGAGACCAGAACATTCAGGTAGAGTTTGTACCCAAGGATTTGGTGTTACGCCGAGTAGATTCTTTCCTCAAAGCAAAAATGAAGAAGGTAGTGGTAGCGGCAGCAGTTTTGGACAGATAGCTAGTCTTAGAGAGGAGTTCATATCATTTCGTGATAATCAGGCGAGAGAATTTGGCTCATTTCGTGATAAGATGAGACAGTTTGTGCAAGAAATTCAAAGGAATCATCCACCCCATGGAGGATCAGAAATGGTATCAATTTTTTTTTTTAAGTTAAATGTAAATTGCTTGATTATTATTATCTCATTCTCTTTATATTATTTTCAGGGTGGAAATGACAATTTATCTGATGCCTAACAGTATGCTGATGAGCACTACTATTAGATGTGATGCTTTTGGTTATGTGGATGTTTTATGTAATTTCAAACTTTTGTTGTTTTGACTTTGAAATGTAAGATCATTTTTTGTGCTCATTTCCTTGTTATATATAAGAAATAGTGTTTCCTAGTAATCTTTCTTGAGTTTAACTTGGCATTTTGTGATTTCTAATTGTTTTATTACTTGTACATTTCTTAGTAACTGCTCATTTCCTTGAATGGAATAGTAATTTTCTCCTTGTTATTATTGTTATTGTTATGACTTTTACTTTAGGCTTTCATATATTAACACTCTTGATTACCAATTAACGTCATGCTTTACCAAAGATGAATATTTATATATTGTTTGTTACAGGTCTATTTGCGGTCACAGTTGGCTAACCAACTTAGATCTAGGGTGAACGGCCAGGTTTCACAATTAAAAAAAAAAAAAAATTCTAGACGTTAGTGGCGGTTATAACCGCCACTACAGACCAGAAAACCGCCTCAAAGCGGCTATCAGGTCGATTTCGCTAGCCATTATTGCGGTTAAAACCGCCATATTTCTGTACTTTTGCAGCGGTGATAACAGCTGCAAAAAAATGCTAGACGTAAATAGCTACCCCGCCGGTCTTCAAACCGCTGAGGAAGGCCGTTGCAGCGGATTGCAAAAACAGCGGTTATGTAGCGGTTCTTCGACCGCTGCAAATAAAATTGTGGCGGTTTTAACCGCCGGGAAAGGTGAATTATTATGCTGCGAAAATCCTATTTTTTGGCAGTGATATGAAATGTTATGTATATATTAATTATACAAGGAAAAGATCATGATTATTTTTATGTATGTTTAACTGTTATATTATAAACTGTTAAATTAAAATTTCAGATAAATAACTGAAATATAAGAATTTGTCAACATAAGAAGGAGATCAAATGAAAATAGGGTTTATGTATATGTTTAAATTGAAAAAAAATATTTTATTATCTCTTTATTTATATGTGGAATGTTAGTTTGTTAATTATTTTATATTATTGAAAGAAATATGTTAATCGTCTGACCATTCGTTCTCGCTTTATTAATTCGAGCCTCTTGTTAAGATCGTGACAGTATTAGCTCTTCCCTCATGCGCTAGCCCTCTTCCCTCCTTACCCCAAGTTATTTATTCTCTCTCTTTGTTGGATATCTCGCGATTCCTCTCCAACTTATTTTCTTTTAAAAGGATGTAAATTTTTTGAGATCTTTGTTTGATGTGATGCCTTTTATTGAATATGTATAATAATATTGCAAATAGATATTATTTTTTGAGATATTAATTTAAATTTTATAAAATCTTAACATTCAAAATATAAAAAGCACTTATGTAAATGTTAATCACAAATATGCGAGCTGCATACTTATTTATGTTTTGAAGATCTTCATCACCCTAAGGATTATATAAGTTAAAAGTTTTTCAAGAATGGAGATATCTTCTTTGAAGATGTTAAGAGAAATCTTTTTTTGCTTATGGCTAAAAAAATGCTAGTAATTTAAATATTAAAAGTATTTAACTTATAATTATTGAATATGTTATTTGTTTAAATGATTTTATTTTTAATCATATATTTCTATTATTATATAATTTAGATTATATTTACACGATTTTAATACTTAGACATTTTTCAATTCAATATATAGTTTCACCCTAATTGAGCCTTTAAACATTGAATTTCTAATTTTTTAGTTTCATATCTTATCGAGACTTGATTTGGGACAGTATTTTTATTATTTTTAAAAATTATTTTCTAGTAAAAAATTATTATAAAAAAATAAAATAAGAAAGTGATCCTAATTAAAACCTAAATTTACACAACTTAATTAAAAGGGTGTTATGTAAATATTCACATTATCGTCTCGGTTTAGCCAAATCCGATTCTACTACCATCATGAAGATTAAATGCACGCGAAGGGTTATTTCCGCCATTCGGTCAAATAAATTGGATATTTTCGCCAGCAAAGTTCCATTTCCAGAGCCTTCATTGAGAATTTACAGTCCTCTCTTGTCGTCGATCGAGCGACCTGCAACCCTACAACCGTGGGATCGATCCGACGACGAATTATGACTGTGGCGAGGCGGAATTTTGTTATCGAATCTCCCAACCTCTTGCAGATCGCTCCGAGATTCTTATCCGCCGAGTAAAACCCATTTGTTGTTTCCGCCTTTCGCTGCTCTCCCAAGGAGATCTCCTAAACCCTTGGTACGATCTTTCCTGGACACCGGCGGCGGGATTTACAAAATCCGACTGGGATTCCACCGCCGGATTGATGTTTTGGAGGAGACTAGGGATCGGCACCGAAATCTGATCTTGGGAATTCGATTATAGATGGCGACGTTGCGGCCACCGAACTTTGATGCCTTCGAGGCGTACTTCAAGAGAGCTGACTTGGATCAGGATGGGAGGATCAGCGGCTCGGAAGCCGTTGCTTTCTTTAAAGGATCTAATTTGCCCCAACCAGTCTTAGCTGATGTTAGTTGTCTTTGTTTAGTACCGTGATAATTAAGTCATTATTTCTGTGTTTCAGTGTTGGTTCCTTGTTTGTTCTCGAGTTGCTTACTGAGATATGGTTGACTTCAGTCATGCATGCCATTTAGTTGGAGTAGTTTCTTTGCTGAGCTTGCGTTCAAAATATCATATGTTGTGCTTTGGTTGGATAGTTGCATGGAAATTCAATTATGAACCTCTGGGATCTTGTTTGATTATTCGTTATGGTATGAGACTTAGATGCTATGGAGATTGATGGTTGACATTGAGAAAAGAGATCGAACCAGTTACTAATCAACAAGCCTTCTCAAATCTACCCTCTAAATGGACATCACCAATTCGATGTACATTTTCTTCTTATTTTTGTTATTGGATTCGCTTTGGCAGACATTATGTAGATTTCCGCCAAGAAGCATGCTTTTGAGAGATATCTGGACTAGACTGTCAAGGCATTAATTTTTTATTCAACCCTTGATACATTTTCTGAGTTCAAGATATCATTTCTTCGAAGAAACAGAATGAAGAAATTTATCCTTTTATTAGAAGTAGAAGAGAATTTAGGCTGAAATGTTTGGTTTGTGATGCTCGCTTTTACCTAGTATTAGTGTTTTAAAAAAAGTTATCTTGAGGTAGTCATTCTCTTACTTTATTGATTAAGGATTTCTGGTAACCCTTTGACCTCTGACACCTTCTAATGACGCTACTTAGCAACAGGGAGAGGGTTGGTTCTTGAGCTATGAGTATACTGGTCATTGGTGCATGCATGTTGTAAGGTGTGGTAATCAGCAGCCTTTTTTATATGGGTATGGGTTCTGCTTTATTCTTGAACTCCAGAATCTTGCAGAATTTGATATCTCGTGTTTTTGATCTGCTGGACCAAGTAAATTATTGGAAGCTTCATGTTAGGAGGGAGTAAGTACTTTATTCGTAAAGATTTAAGGTACAAATTTGAAAGTGGTTAAGGATTTATGTGGATAAATAACTTTGGATTTTCTAATTTAGGTCTTGCCCCATACTTTTTGCTAAGACTTGTAAGATCTTCATGTTGTAAACTTGTAATATGATTAACAATTTCATGCTTCAGCTGTGTTTAGGACGTGGCTTGGCAAGCTTTAATCACAATGCTAATATGAGATTGCCAAGTAAATTGCACTTGAGTGTCTAATAAGGCGATATCCTGACTTACACTTTATTGCTAATCACTTGACTTGTGATTAGCCTAATAAGGACATTGTCAGCTCAATTTAGTGATTTTCAGTGTTCTTTTGAACTCTTATTCAATTATGCAAAATTGCAAACTTCATAGTTTTTCCAAGATGCAAATATCAGCGGTTGATTAGCAAGCTGACAGTGTAATTTGTTGTTGAAATTTGTACCTTTCTCCCCCTTTTTTTTCGTAGGTCTTTTCTTCTACCTATGAAATGACCTCACCAGCAAGTCCTTGTCTTTCATTCATTTTCTTTGATACTTGTAATGACTACTCTCAGAGAGATTAAGCAAATTCAGTACTTGTCATAATATCTTCTGTGAATCGAGCTTATTCTTGTTTGTTGTAATCCATGTACTTATTGTATATTTTTTAAATTTTCTCATGCAGTATTTTTTGCGATTCAGCTAAATCTGGTCTTCTTCCCTCCGATGTGCAACGTACATAATATGCTCTTATGACGAGTGATTCAAACATTTTAGAAAATGCACCATTGGGTTATTTGATCCGATGAAATTCTATCTAGATTCTATGCTTGTTTTACCTTTTACTTAAACTATTATAGCTTCACGCAGATATGGAAGTATTCTGATCAGAACAACAGTGGTTTCCTTGGCCGCCCAGAATTTTATAATGCATTGAAGCTAGTTACTGTGGCTCAAAGTGGCCGTGAACTAACACCTGACATTGTCAAGGCTGCGTTGTTCAGTCCGGCTACTGCAAAAATTCCTGCTCCTCAGATCAATCCCGTACATGGTCCTGCAACTGTAATGAGCTCTTCAGTCACATTGAGGCCCCAGTCAGGCATATCAATGCCAGCATCCCCCCATATAAGTGTTGCTGGCCCAATGGGATCACAAAACTCTGGCCCAAGGGGAATATCACCTGGTTTAGCTGTGAATCAACAGTTGATTTCTCCTTCAAACAGCCATCTAGCAAGACCACCTCAAGGCACACCTGCTGCTGCTTCATATCCGATACAGGGTGTTAATCCAACACCGCCTGGAGCAACCAGCTTCTCAGGTGCGCCTCAAATTTCAAAAGCATCAAGCATATCGACTGATTGGTTTGGCATGAACAGTGGGGTTTCTGTTGGGGCTGCCTCACAAGGTCCTGTCCAAGGCACTGTGTCTTCAATAAAACAGGATGGTATCTGGTCAACTGCGGCAAGGACAACACCTGGAATGACCATCATGTCACCTACACCATCTGCAGTAGTGACCTCAGCATCTACCAGTGTATTAGATGCTAAGGATTCAAAAGCTTTGGTTGTATCTGGAAATGGTTTTTCTTCGGACTCTGCTTTCGGAGGCGATGCATTTTCGGCAACTCCTCAAGTAAAGCAAGATGGTATTTCAGCTGCTTTTTCTTCTGCTAGCACACCTAGCTCAGCAGGAATTGCTCCAACTGCTTCCTTATTTCAAAATTCAAAGGTTGGTGCACTTGATTCCTCGCAGAGCACTTTTGTACGACCTCTTGGTGGTAATCCACCTCCAGGAGCACAATCAATGTTGCTGAAAAATCCATTAGATCCAATTCAAAGCACTTTATCACCCGCTGCAGCTAAGTTGACAGCTGGAATTCCAAATTCTGCCAGTCAGCCACAGCTTCCATGGCCAAGAATTAGTCAAACTGATATTCAAAAGTACACTAAGGTGTTTGTGGAGGTAGATAAGGATAGAGATGGAAAAATCACTGGTGAACAGGCACGGAACTTGTTCCTCAGTTGGAAGCTTCCTAGAGGTGTGCACTTGCTGCAAAGTTTGCTTTAATTTCTATCTTTAGGGTATTTTGTCATATGATCTGCAGCATGTACTTTTTTCTCAAATTAAAGAAGAAGTGATCTACCTTTTTATTTGCAGAAATTTGGGTCCTTCCTCCCTCCAGAATTTTTTTTCTCATTTTTTTAGGTTTCCGCTGTCTTACTTCCACACTAACTTCAAGTTCCTAACTTTTTTATTAAAGCATAACTGTTCTACATATTTTATGCGCATAAACTTGGGACACTATCATTCTAAAGATCTTTCTCTTTTACTTCTCATTTTTCTGCATCTTTCAGTAAATTTTCATTTTTATTATTCTTTAGTTTAGCATTGTTTATAGCTTGGTTTCAAACCTTTTCAAATTTGTGTTAGGCCGTTTCTCCGATATTCTTATCCAGATTAGTATATTCTTAATTTGAGATATTTTTATTTTGCATTCTGCTCTTACAATTCATTTATTCACCGGGTAAACTGGTTTGTTGCATTTCTAGAGGTCTTGAAACAGGTGTGGGACTTGGCTGATCAAGATAATGATAGCATGCTATCGTTTAGAGAATTTTGTATTGCTCTTTATTTGATGCAGCGGTTCAGGGAGGGGCGTCCTCTTCCAGCTTTACTTCCAGATGTGCTTAGATTTGATGAGACTTTGCTGCAAGCCACTGGTCAACCTTCAGGCTTATATGGTGAGCCAATTTAGCAGCCAAGCACCGGTAGCTAAATTTCTACTAGTGGGTTTTTAGTTAATCATTCTCTCTCTCTCTAATAAGAAGCTATTTTTGACTGATAAATTCTGATATTCTATTATTCAACCAGTTGTTTGTCCTTAATCTCTCCTGAAGTCTTTTATTAATTTTTAATCAGGCTTATCAGGACAAGGGGTTCCTGGGCCGCGTCCCCCTGTGCCCACTACTGGAATGAGACCTATCATGCAATCTACAGTTCCTTATCAAGTAGATGGTGGCCAACGATCGCAACAAGGGCTGATGGCACCATTTCTTGTGAATCTGGTGAATCAACAGAATGAAGAGCAAGCCTTTGAGGAGGCTACAGATGGTCCAAAAAAGGTATTTCCTTTAATTTCTGAAGATGATGGGTTTTTCAAGTAGGAGGCAATGGTATCCTTACGCTGATATTAAAAAATGCTGATTCAATATATTTTTGTCATATTAGATTCAATGATTAAAAGGGTTTCACATTGTTTTTTTTTACCTATTTTGAATCTTATAACATGTAAGTGAAGACTGTTTTGTGCAATATAAACGTTTAATGGTTGTCCACTTCTTAATTTTATGGTTGAAGTAGGTGTCCAAGAAATGGTTTGAGTTGCCTTCTGTTCTTCTCTATTTATTCACATGTTTTTGTGATGGAGTTTTAATAAATTTATCATTGTTAATGTCTAGTGACTGCTATGTTGTTAATGGGAGATATCTGTACTTCAGATGCAAAACCAGCATTAATGATCTCCGATGAACACCATTCATGCCTATTCAATAATATATGAGAATCTGTCTCTAATGACCCACTTCTGAATTTTCGACCTAGTTTTGGTTACATTTTGATTGAGCACTGGTGTGGTGTAGTTGAGGATGCAACAGGAAATGCATGCGATGTTGATCTTGATAACAAAGTGGATGGTTTTGCTAGCTTTCTTTGTGATAGCATGGACTGATGGTGGCCATTGCTTTCTCAATCAGGTGCAGAACTTAATATGAAATGCAGGCAAAAGTGCTGTACTGTTAAGGGGGAAGATGATAGTGCTGCGAAGCCACAAGAGTGTCCTTTTTATTGGCGGGAAGTGATGAGGGAGAAGAAGTGGGAGTGCTAAATATTTTTTAAGGGGGACCGGTCGAAGATGGCTTAAAGTTACAGTAATATGCTTGCTAAGACTATTTGTTGGTTTTTCTCACGTTAGTAACAAGTTTATCCTCGTAAAATATCTTTTGTTTGTACAGTAAGGGTTGCTCCTAATATTGGGTGCAATCTGACAAGCATTTATTGTGATAGGTACAATAATGTGCTAGGCCTTATGCATTGAGTAAATATGTGAGGCGTCAATATTTGACCCGACCTAAAAATTCCTAGTCAAACGGGTCAACCCATTTGTCAAACGGGTCGGATTTGGACAAATAGATTCATTTCAAAAACCCGGTTGACCTTGAATGGCAACTTACCCGACCCTAACTCCCAAAGTTCGCGGTAAATGAACCTCGTCATCCGCCTCTCTAGTGGCCCCGCTGTCCGTTGGCGCTCGGTTCAAATCCTACTCCTAAACGTTAGGCTAGTTCCGCAGTCCGCAATGCTCCACGGCTTCAATGACGTTCCTCTTCTCTATCTTTGGTTTTCCTCTTCTTCGGCTTCGACGACTTTCCTTCCGGCTTCCTAGAGACGATGGGTCTAAATTAGTGTGCAAACGAGTCGGGTCGAGTCAAGTATTTGCCTTATTGTTGACTGTAACTGTTGCACGCCAGATCGGACAAACCGCTCCCGACCGACTTAAGCCCCAAACGACACAACCGCCTCTGCCGGTCCCACCTCACGACGATTCAACCACCGCCTCATTCACGAAATAAAACAATACTCCTCTCGTTCGGTTAACATTCACGCACTCATACACACTGAGAAGAAGAAGAAATCAAGTTTCAAAACTTACCTTTCGCCTTTCCTGTCGAAGCACGCCGTCGACTCCAGCCGACCAAGGACTCGCCGGCCTGCCGTCGACGAAGGACTCGCCGCCGGACCCGCCTGCCTCCGGCCAGACCAGCCTCCGCCTCCGCTTCCGCCGTGCGTGCCTCCGATCCCGCCTCCCTGTCTCCGATCGGGCTCTGCCCTAGTCCGAGCCTTCTCCCTCTCTCTATTATATGTTATAATATATAATATTTATTATGTATTATATATTATGTTATATATATAGTATATATTATGATGTTATATTATAATATATATTATGTTATATTCATATAATATATAATATTATGTTATAATATATATTATTTTATAATATATGTTTTATATATATATATATATATATATAATATATATTATAAAAAAAAATAATAACATATTAAAATAAAAGAATGGGATTTCCAGCAGGTGTCAGTAAGTACCATACGCTGTGACTTTGATCCCAACGGGTATGATGATTTTACATTTTTGAAGAACCAATTACGCCGCGAATCTTGATCCGGGTAGACAATGTTAAATTTGGAAAGAACATACCGCCTCGATCTTATAGATACACTGAAGAATGTATGAATTTGTATAAACTATTTGAAGACCTCCGCACAGCCGTAAAATCGAATCTGTTTGATCCGGCCAGGCGGGAACAGTACTTATCGCACGTGCGATCTCCGACATTACTCCCATCCGGTGGTGAAGAGGACAGTGAAGGCTAGCCGAAATCTATCACCAGATAACTAAAAAAAACTAGATGAACAACGAAAGGACGGACTAAAAAATTTGTAATGATACTGATATAATTCAAATTTAAAATCCAATTTAAAATAAATTTCGTCATCAATAAATATGGTGACTAAAATTCAAACTTGGACTTAACTCGATCGGACTAACATATTTGGAACTCAAATCAATACAACAATATAAAGATACCTAGAATTACTAAATGACTATACAATAGAAAGACGTTAAATAAATTTAAACAAAATTGAAACAAAGTCTATACTAATGAACTACAACCAAAAAACCTGAAAAAAAATAACAAAACAGTCATTGAATGAAAAAACCTACTAAATATTAAAGCATCAACTATATAAAAAAAATTGTCCATTGAAAAACATGGTTATAATAATAAATAGTATTATTAAAAAGAACTAATTGCAAGCTCTTTACAATTTTGAAGGAATCTCATTGCTCTATATAAAAAGTTCTTGAAAGAATATTCATCTATGATAAATTATTTCTTTCCATAGAATGAGGATATATGTTAAAGAGACTACCGGTTACCTCTCCAGAGTTCTATACTAGAACCGAACAAAAGGCGCCTATTTCCCTAATCTTGTAGTTTTGCAGAGACGTGACTAATCATTCCATGGCCATGTGTAAGAGATCATAAGATGTTACATGAAAACTTTATAATGAGCAATACATAAATGCGGTTTAACAATTAAGAGGAATCACAATTTGATGATTTGAAAACTGTGATTATTTCTCATAAAGACCTTATACTCAAATAATGAGAAAATTATTAGGGTCGCCTTAACTACAAAATGATTGTAATGAATATAATTCGCTGTGTTGCTTATATGAGCTAATATTAATCAGATAGATGAGCGGCATATCATAATTTACCTATAAATATGTGAGTAGATTAATATATTAATTACCCACTACAAGATATACTACAATTCACCTATGAGTGAGTGATTAGGAATTTGTAGTGCCCATAACAACTTGCCTACAAGCAAAAATATGATCTCTCTACGGGGAAAAGAATAGGAGAACTTATAGCAGTATCAATATAATTCTCTCACGAACCACTAACACAATCTCTTACGGAAGAATAGAGAACTTTGTTAGCAAGCAAGATAATTCTTCCTACATAATCTGCACTATCTCGTATATGCCTATTGAACAAGCATTCTTCTTATCAAGCTATGTAAAGAATACTTCTTATGTTGCTGCAAATGAAACCTATAAGAACAACGCTACCGAATCCGCAATATATGGTTGCAAGCGGACAGAAGGCGTTCGTAAAAGCCCTTTAAAGTAAAATTTGGAACATTCCTAATAAAATTCACTCTCATATAATGGATCATATTTAAATATTTTAAAATGTCCCTTATATATTAAATATGATCCCTTAAACTAAAATCAATCCCTGCATGTGCTCCGGTCAACATGTTAAAAGTACAAACACCAATGACCGAGAATGCTGCGCAGGGTCAAATACTACGACCCGCATGTACTCCAATCGTCATATCTAAGTATCAAATCCAACGATTCGAGAATGCTGCACGGGTCTAATATTCAAGTTTCATCCTCCTCCTTGAGAGGATTGGAGTCGACATAACTTGAATTTTAAAATGCCTCCCAAAATTCTACAAAATACATGTGACCTTAATGCCACCCCGATGATGGCCGTGTTGATAGAAAATCTCAACCGGAGATCTCAAATCCAATAAAAATCCAAATTTTTTGAAATAAAATCTATCACCTAAAAAACTCAAAACTAAAAAAATCATCCACCTCCCGCAACCGTTTGTCGGGGGTGATAAATTTGAAATTAACCTCAGCTCACAAAGAGCAAATGCATGTCGGGTGTATCACTACGATTCATCCTCAAATAGACTCTTGCCAACAGGGACGTGGCACGTGCCCTCTGATCGGGTGGTTTTGCCACAAAATGACACCATTATATTACGATCACGGCCAAACCCCGTATGTTCCCTAAAGGCGTTAAACCCTTGAGTTATGAATCATAGGATATATCTGATAGGCATAAAGCCTTCTGTTAGCTAAGGTGGATTCAGATGTATCCCCTTAGACAAACACCAACCCAGGTCTACAAGGTATTCTTGGACGAAGCAACCCATGGCTGCCGACAAGGTGCCTTCTATCAGGTTGGGTCGACTACCTCCTCTGACTAAGTAGACCAGGGATCATGGCAGCCCGGGACGACGGAACCATGGGATCTTGATCGGGCTCGTCTTCATTCCCCCCACCACCAGTTTTAAGTTCATGGTGATAAACTTCAAATTCCAAATTTCAAAATTCAAATCCAAATTCAAGATTTAAAACCCTAAACTATTGCTATTATATGATAGGTTTATAACCTATTCGACATCCTTAATGACTAGCCTTAATCGAAAGTTCTCTCCTGTTATCAGGAGGGGTAATTAACTATAGGGGCTTGCGCCTATAGGAAACCAGAACTCAGATAAAAAAGTCCTCACAAAATGAGGGCGAAATCTCTGGGTAGTGTCTTATCTAAAACCCAATCTGCCTTCTGAAAATTCCCCCGGAACCTAATCTAGTTAAGACTCTCTGTCATCATCGTCATACAAACATTTTAAAAGAAAAATTGAAGGATGGCGCGGAGAGGTCGGGA